GGAAAGTTTTTTTTCTATATTTCTCACAGACAAATTAATCATAACGCGCATTATTTAATTTGTCTGCAATCCTGTTAGAATTATAGGACAATGACTTTCCAAAGAAGGCAGTTCAATGCTTAAATATTCGCCTGTGGTTATTGCTAATTTACACACCGCAAGAAACGCGATCATTTCCACACTCGCTAAAATTCAACATTTACACAGTACATGGCAACAGCGCACGCGCATTTTTATCAGGCACACATAATGTATTCAGCTGATAACATACGACAGAGGCACAATTCTCTGATTGACTACGCTTTAATGAATTAATTGTTTACATGAGTTTACAGTGATGAATTACTTAGCAGCAAAGTAAAGTTGGACATTTATTCGTTATTCGTTTACTTTACATTTATTCGTTATTCGTTAACTTTACGTAGAAAGTGTATACAGGTGGTACAATATCACACCGTGTTAAATTACCACCAACATATGTCCATTTTGAATGTTGATAGATTGTTAACGCCATTTTTCAGAAAGAACTGGGGTGGTTTTTCTGAAGTTTAACACGAATGTTCTTATGGTCTGTAGTTACACATATCGAATTTGGGATCTGACATGAAAACAAAGGTGGCCGACAGGCGGCTACATTTTGACCAAATTTAGTCAGAATCATCCATGGGGGAAGGGGAGCGAATTTTGTATAAATGGTGGTTCTGTTCCCCCTGGGGGCTGAGGGGCGTGGCCCAATAGGGGAAATATAGCAAATTCTTTAAAATCCTTCTCCTTCTGTAGGAATGAAAGGATTTGTTCCATATTTAGTCTGAAGCATCCTTAGGTGAAGGAAATGGTCCATATTTGGTGTGGAGCATCCTTGGGTAAAGGGGAACCCATTGGTATAAACAGTGGGTGTGGCCCCCCCGGGACCCGAGGGGCTTGACCCAATAGAGAGAGCGCCATGAGAGCGCAGACAATCGCCAACTAAAACTCCGTAGGAACGCGGTAGAACGCCATGGAGCTCCGTAGAAACGCCAAGATCGCCGTGAGAATGCCGTGACTTCGACATCTTTATGAAAAGTATCAATTTTTCCTGCGATCTCACGGCGCTCTTGGAAATTTAACAACGCCGTGCAATCGCAGTGGGAAATAGAGGTAAAACCTTTATAATCTCTTCTACCATAGTGATAAAGGGATTATATCCCCATTTAATCTGGAGCATCCTTGGGCAAACGGGACTCAATTTCGTATAAACAACGAGTGTGGCCCTCCCCTGGGGGCAGTAGGGAGGGGCCCAATAGGGGAAACATAGCAAATTCTTCAAAATCCTTCTTCTTTTGTACGAATGACAGTTTTTTTTCCAAATTTGGCATGAAGCATCCTTGGGTGAAGGGGAACCAATTTTGTATAAACGGTGGGTCTGACCCCCTGGAGTCAGAGAGGCGGGTCGAATAGGGGAAAATAGAGGTAAAAACTTTAAAATTCTTCTCCTACCATAGGAATTAAGGGATTTAATCCTAATTTAGTCTGGAGCATCCTTGGGCCAAGGGGACTCAATTTTGTATAAGGAGTGGGTGTGGTCTCCCAGGGGGCAGAAGGGCGGGGTCCAATAGGAGAAATAGAGGTAAAACCTTTAAAATCCTTCTTGTATCATCGGGATTAAGGGATTTTATCCTCATTTAGTCTGGAGCAACCTTGGGCCAAGGGGACTCAATTTTGTATAGTTGGTGGGTATGACCCCCTAGGGGTATAGGGATGGGGCTCTGTTTGAAATTTGTTCTCGCTATATCTCAAGTACTGGATGGATCTTTCTTAAATTTCATATGTTCTTACAGCACCTACCATGGAGTGCTATATCTTTACTTCATACCAATTATTTTTCATATATTCAGGTGAGCGATACAGGCCCTCTGGGCTTCTTGTTTGAATTTTGAGATTAAGATGAAGAGTGTTGTTGCTATTTCTCAAAAAGTATTCAAAGGATCTTTCTGATCTTGTTATGAATGTCAAATTTTGTGTCTGATTAAAACCAAGTTGGTTGACGAGCGGCCATTTGGAATGTTGAGAGTTAAAGTATGTTAACATTGTTTCACAGAAAGTAATGGGAGGATCTTTATCAAATTTGACATGAAGGTTTCCCGTGGTCTTCTGTTATGCATTAAAGGGTCTGATCAGGATATCACGATGGGTGACAGACTGCTATGTTGAATTAAGAGATTGAGAGGTTGTTAGCGCTATTTCTCAATAAGCACTTGGTAGATCTTTATCCGATTTCGTATGTATAGTTTCATATGGCCTTAGTTGTGCATATTTCATATTAAGACTGTTTAGAAAGAAAAAAAATAGTCGCAAAGACATCTATACTTGATTTTGACAGTTACAGCTTGTTATCCATATTTATTGACAAATACTAGACAGATCTTTCTTAAAATATAAAATTTAGTTTCTCCTTCTTATAGAGTAGGCACCATATAGTAAATATGTAGCATAACAACCTGACTTTGAAAGTTCAATGTCATACAAATCAGTTTAAAATGTTTATGAAAATTTACTATAAGTTAACAAATTGTTTACGTGACTTATTCCAACAGAAATGAAATAAGCAGAGTAAAGATCAATATAACATGAAAACTATGAAGATGGCACGATGGTAGGCGCCCGGATCTATCTGTGTAGATAGAAACGTAGTAAAAGAGGTGTTTGAAATTAGAAAGAAAAACTTAGTAAATTCATATTGAATGATCAGCAGTCAGATGTTGTTAGATTTTGACCAAATTTAGTATGGCTATGTTCAAATTTTGTAAAATTAGTAAAAGAAGTATGATGTCGCTACAACATTTATTAAGGGATTATTTTAAGAGTCTAGTGGCCAAATAGGCCTAAAACCCGTGCCGATGCCAACCATTTAAACGGTTCCACGCACAGGGGTTGCCATAAAGATAGAACTCGGTATTCACCTCGAGCCAGTACCATGAACATAGTATTAGTACGACATTTCATGTGTTCATAATCATACAGAATACGGTCGCAACTAGTATAGAATCTGTGCCGGTGCCCAATATTCTATTCAACAATATACTCACATCCGGGCACTTTCCGGAAACATGGTCTAAAGGTAATATTGTGCCTGTCTTTAAGAAGGGAGATGCAAATAATACTAATAATTACAGAGGTATTACTCTAGTTAGCTGTTTGGGAAAACTTTTTACGTCAATCATTAATAATAGACTGATGTCATTTGATAAGAAATACAGTAAGATAACTGACGCTCAATTTGGATTTAGAAAAAATCTTTCAACTATAGACGCTATATTTGCATTACAGGCCATAATTAATCGGAGTCTTAAACATAAGAAACGATTGTATTGTTGTTTTATTGATTATACAAAAGCATTTGATTTTATTAATCGACAAAATATGTGGTTCAAATTAATAAGGGAAGGAATTGATGGAAAGTTATTAGTGTTAATAAGGTCTTTGTATAATAACGTAAAATGTTGTGTTAAGTATAATGGTTCATTATCTGACTTCTTCAATTGTGTAAACGGATTGTTTCAAGGGGAAATTTTGTCTCCATTATTGTTTTCATTATATGTAAATGACTGTGAGATGCAATTTTTAATTGACAACTGTCCATCGATAGAAATTCAAACTTTAAATCTGTTCCTGCTGATGTACGCAGATGACATGGTAATTTTTTCGGAAACACCAGAAGGCTTGCAAGACATGTTAAATTCTTTAGAAGCATTTACAAAAAAGTGGGATCTAACGGTCAATACAGATAAAACAAAAGTGCTGGTTTTTAGAAATGGTGGTATTTTAAGAAACAATGGAAATTGGACATATAACGGATGTCCTTTGGAAATCGTAAATGAATTTAATTATCTAGGTATGTTGTTAAATTACAACGGCACTTTCAGAAAAACACAGCAAAAAATAGCAGATCAAGGAAGGAAAGCTTTATTTTCAGTTATGAATGTATGTCGTAATAATTATTTTAATATTGAAACCCAACTATCAGTATTTGATACATATGTAAACAGTATTTTGTGTTACGGTTCAGAAATATGGGGTTTTCATAAAGCCCCGGATGTTGAAAAAATACATATTATGTTTTGTAAAAAATTACTCGGTGTGCGTAAAAATACTTGTAATGCTATGGTTTATTTAGAGCTTGGTAGATATCCATTATCACTGCTGAGGAAATTCAGAATTTTTAAGTATTGGATAAAGATTATAAATACCGATAATTGCATTTTAAAATCATGTTATGAAGACATGTTAGTGCGTAACGACAAATGGGTAATTAATATCAAGAATGAATTATATAGAATAGGTCTAGGTTACATATGGCAAACAGATAACATTGATAATAGCTGTTTGATTATAATTAAAGAAAGACTTTTAGATATTTATAGACAAGATTGTATAGAACAAATTAGAACATCATCAAAAGGATTTTTTTATACATGTCTTAACAAAGAAGTTGGTATACAGGGTTATTTAAGAAAATCGTTTATGAAAGGTTACTTAAAAGAAATAACAAAAATTCGGCTTTCAGCCCATAATTTAAATGTAGAGAAAGGTCGTTATCAAAATATTCCGCGACTTTTAAGAATCTGTACCGCTTGTGATATAGATGATGTCGAAGATGAATTTCATTTTATTCTTAAATGCCCCTGTTATTCTGATTTACGTGAGAAATTTTTAAAAAAGTACTATTGTAAAAAACCGAGCATGTTTAAATTAATTCAGTTATTTAACGGACAAAACACAAATGAATTAGCAAAATTGGCCAAATACATTAAAGCTGCAAATTCAAGAAGAGCTTTATTAACATAAGTAGTTATGCTCTCCGAGTGTTTTGTCTCGTCTGTATATTTATTAGTATTTTCGATATTTGTCAATGTTATGAGAAAGTATATATATATATATATATATATATATATCATGTATATGTGTTACACTGATGAGTCGCAAGACTCAAAGTTAATAAAGAACTTGAACTTGAACTTGAACTTGAATGGTTCCAGAAAGTGGGGTCTGGCAAAAACCGTTTACAATAAGTTTAATTAGGATTTAAAAAGGTATTTAACAAGAGTTTGACCAGGAAAATGAAGTTGAAATTTTATTGGTAAATAGATGGCACACAGAATTTGGAAATATCTAGAACGGATGTAAATGTCCATCTTTTGAAAGGTTCCACATGTGATAGATGGAACAAAATCATTTATACGTAGTTATCGATTTTAATAAAAAAAAAAAAAAAAAAGCGGTCACAAATATGAATTTGCATAGACATTTTTGTTGATTTATATTGATCCCGGTGCTCTTGTGTTTGATTATTTTTTTGGAAGAATATCATAATACACTCAGGTTTTACGCATTCGACAAACGCTCCATCCTGATGTCACCGTTGCGTATAATCTTCAGATACATGTTTTAACCTTAATGAAAAAACAACATTAAGACTTGAAACATGTGTATCTATTTTATCCATGCACATTCAGTCGTACGGTCATTATTCTTGCATGGGCATATGGACATGATTATACACAACACATTAACTTAATTAAGGAATTATTTGAATGAATAGTGAACAAAAATACTATTTAAGAATATATACACTGTATCAGGTACATAAGCTATTTTCCTATGCATTGCCCTTACAGTTTATTAAAACCCCTGTCACACTTGGGCCGCGTTCCCACGGCGTCCAAGAAAAATCCAGAACGCAGTGGAATCGCAAGCATCGCCGCGGCAACGCAGTGGCATCGCCAGTGAACGCGATGGGATCACAAAGAACGCCGAGCGACGGCGCGCACTTTGAGCATGCCCAAAACAAACGCCGTCGTTCGGCGTTTTGATCAGAGCGCAGTGGGATCGCCGTGAGGTCGCCGTAGCAGCGCAGTTAGGTCTCCTACAATGCCACAGAATCGCCGCGGGCGCGCACAGAGGTCGCAGTGCGAACGCAATGGTTATCGGTGGCGCTTGCACGGCGATCGTATGGCGTTTCTGAGATGACACTGCGTCTCTACCGGGCTTATACGGTGCCGTGACAACTCGATGCACGCAGTGGAAGCGCCGTGAGAGCGCCATGAGAGCGCAGACAATCGCCAACTAAAACTCCGTAGGAACGCGGTAGAACGCCATGGAGCTCCGTAGAAACGCCAAGATCGCCGTGAGAATGCCGTGACATCGACATCTTTATGAAAAATATCAATTTTTCCTGCGATCTCACGGCGCTATGGGAAATTTAACAACGCCGTGCAATCGCAGTGGCAACGCGGCTAGGTGTGACAGGGGCTTAAATATCCATATAAAATGAAACTGATGAAATATTCTGAGTAATGAGATGCACACTCTTAACATCGAAACAGATTGAAGATAAAAATGATTAACAACCTATAATGTAGAATGACGTAATAGAATTATAAAAGGCATGGATTTCACGAAACCATCAAACTTATTGAATAGACATAAAAGGCAACTAAGTGATATTCTGACAGGGATGGGCTTAGTATAAAATAGCGTTATGCGCATGACTATGAAATGGTACAGCACAGATATATATATATATATACATTTTTGTATATTCAGAATAAAAACTGAAAATGGGTTCAAAGAGCTAAACTCCCTGACGGGATAGACATGGATAAGGGACGGATTTCATTCTTACTGTCATTGTCACATATGACTCTGGAATGAATTGCACCTCGAACAAATTTTCAAATATCTTGATATCATAATGAAAAGCCAATTAATGACAATTTAAAAATGTTGTTTAATAATAGAGCCCACCATGTACATCAAGGAGCACAACTGAGCAAAGTCAGAACTTTCTTTTAAGATTTTAAGTAATACAAACCTTGGATAATAAATTTGTAATTAACATTGCAAAACTGTGGTAGGCAATCAAATAAAAAAAATCAATATCATCAGCAGAATTATGTTTTTATCGAAATTGTTCGAACTCTCAAAATGCTCAGCTTTCTTTTGAAATTTTAGTTTCATATATTAACAATTTATCAAGCAGTAAGAGGACACTCAACGGTAGAATTAAGAAAGGGTTATAATTGAAATGGTCGTATATTACCGTTATGTCGATGGAATTCATGCCACACAAAAAACCGTAAAAACAATACGTTTATATTGACTCCAAAACGCGTATAGGTTATCATGCTCGCTTCACAAGAAAAAACTTCATGAATATTTTATGACAGTCATCTCTATTGGATTTTACAGGATAGTGCTTTTAATGACATATTTAACATAATAAATAAAATATTGAACATTTGTGTTATTGTGACCAAATATATTTTAGACTTGCGATTGACATCAAATTAATACAATGATAGGACAAGATTACTTTAAGTGTAGAAGTGGAATATTCGGCATACCAGTATTTCTTTCGCATGATTAAAAACCAATTAATTGACTGCCAGTCAATGTGATAAATATTATGTGTAATACATTAAGATCATAACAATGAGCAATATTTGCAAAAAAAATATTAGAATGAAGAAGTTTAGATTAGAGCAACATTTTGTTTTTTGAACACACAACTATTGTTCAATAGTATAGTTAGACACAAACAAGTAACCAATGAATAAGGTAAGGATACTTTGAACAGAAATTTTACAGTTAATAGCATGTGCCAATCTTTCTTTCAAGAACAATTCCCACAGACATATTACATACAAATGTACAATAGTCATATAGTAAAAGTTCGACTAATACATATAACAAGTGTCCCCTTATAAGCTTGAATATCACAACTACAGTAGCAAATAGGACATATTTGACCGTCTAGAGAAAAGGGAAGTGTACAGGACGGTCTTAGGTGAAATTAAAGAAGGAAAATACAGAAAATAAACAAAGAATAGAGCATAAATCATCGAACAGATTCAAAATCGACCGACAAGAAAAAACGTCATTTTTCTGTAAAATTTTGAATAACGAATAACTGTTCAACTTTACTTTCGCCCCCCGGAAAGTAAAGTTAGACAGTTATTCGTTATTCCGAATAACGAATAACGAATAACGAATAACGAATAACTGTCCAACTTTACCTTGCCTTACTAAGCGAGGTTCAAGACTGAATGAGGTTTTTTAAGTATTTCGTAAAATATATGTCTCATAGAAGACGAATATCATATTATAATTGAATGTAATCTCCATGCAAACATCCATTCTTATTTCAATAACCAATTGTTTAAACAGAGTAAGTAGGTTTAAATCCATTCGGTACCCAAAGTCAAAAATAGAAAACGACTTTCGCATCACACTGTGTCCTTTGAAGTTGATAAAGAGATGTGTGCATAAATACAACACTGACATGGTGCAACTTCCGGTTTCACACTTGTATCGGTTAAGAACAATACACACAGGGAATGTCTTGGGGTCAGGGGTGGTAGAAGGGTCCACTGCTGAAGGTGAGTTTACAACAGAAGCACGTACCACACCCCTTGGGCTTCAGAGGGCTATTACCGTAGAAAATTCGATGTTCTACCAATTCACAATACCGTATTCTCGTCGCGAGGCTACGTCCTTCCTCGACCATACCAGTCATTTCTACTGACGTCCAAGCATGGCATTCAATGGCACCTTAAAACAGAAAAACATCAGCCGTGAACTATAGATTATTACATTGTACTATCAGGGCTTGTGGTGAGAACAATTTTCTCATCGCGAGCACGTGGATAAAATCGAGAGGCCACCGTACAGATTTTATCTACGTGCGAGCGATGAGCGAATTGTTCGAACGACAAACACTGAAAATACTGTACGATAAACTATTTGTCATCTATATACTACTACCTTATATATTTCTCCACTTAAAAACACAACTAACACCATGTTTTCCAAATGACGTTTAGGCTCATTGTTCAACGATCGAAAATCCTCGGTCTGTCACGAACGTAACGAAATTAAAGGATTATCATAAACGTAAATGTAGAAAATCTTATCGCCGTTGGCTTTTCCTTTTCTATATTTACGCTTAAAATAGCGTTGTTATCCTTTCAATCTTTTTGTAATTTTATATTGATTTGATTATGACGACCTATTTGCAGTCACTTCTGTGTGGATACTATTTCCGATTTAAGACGTCACTTGGCGCGAGCAGACGTTCTTTTTGAAGAAAATGCGTTGACAAATGCTGGGAAATAGAAAATCCGTTCTCAAGTTCGTCTCAAGTTCTACTGTTCTTCTAAAGCCGTTCTCAGCATCTATTTGAGTATTCCCACACTGACAACCGATGACAATGGACTTATTATATGACTTTGATTGTATTTACACCTCCGGTGCGCTTAAGTAACTGTTACTGGTAGGTAGTACAATTGCATAAAGGAGTATATAGATGATAATGATAAACCATTTAATGGCGGAATGAAAAGTTCAGGGATCTGCGCCGTTGCTTTCATGAACATTGAGAATGACAATTACATTTCTAGTTTATGAACCATTAAGGCTGTCAGATACACGTGAAGTTAGAGTCATGAATATAAAACATTATCATTATGTTTACACATTATGATATCAAGACATATCAAGACCTACTTACTAATAAGGACAGGCAGACACATGTAGTCCTTTTCCGAGGTAGGGACGCACTTATCGTACACGGAACAATTGTGACTACTGCAGGCTCCAGCCAGAAACTGTTAGAATAAAACATGGCAATTTCGGGTTAAATTGTTAAAAGAAAACTACCTCCTACCAGAACATGTCATTCTGGGTAACGTTTTAGGTTGAAATATACTTTATACTCGATAAATTTATACATTAGTTATTACAAATACTCTATTTTTTTCGAAACGTTATTACCGCAAATCTCTACCTAATCAAACTGTAGAATTATTTATTAATCTCAATAAATCCAAGAAATGGGGTAACAAAATTACTATAAGTTACACATCCATTAATAACTGCCAATTAACGGTAAAAGTTTGGGAATCCCAAGCGACCAAAATAAATCTTCTGCAACCATTGCAATATTTGGGATCTTTAAATTCCTTTTTACATCTGACTATCTTTTATGACCTAGCGCCTTGCTTGGCAACACTTTTGGCTTTAATGATGAACGTTCGCACAGGTGAGGAAGGCAATTGGTTCTGTCCCCATGCCGCGATATATCAAAGTCCTTAAATTGGCTTAACTGCTTAACGTTAGGAAATTTAGAGGAATGGAAACAACTGGTTCACCCGTGGTCAGTATAATGTGACCGAGTGGAATGCTGTACTGGGTGCCTTCAGCTTAGTATTTTAGAGATAGCATGATTAAGTCAGCATCAGTTCCGCGCTATCACAAGGAGGCAAATACACCAACATACCCGCCTCCAACACATATACACGCGTGTACGCACACAGAACACACTTGAAGGCGCTTCTTGAAATGACATCAGCTGGTAATAGGACGTTAATTAAAATAAAACAAAACACCAAAGTACTTTTAATGTCACTTCACTATGCCATTATTGGGGTATATATCCGCACGATCGCACGATTGTATTTTTTGTATCTATATTTTCAACCCATGGGTCAAATAATAAGACAGACAATTATCATAAAAAATAGAGCAGATCTGAATACATAAGTCTGATCAAATATGGGCTCTGGATTCTAACAAACAAATGTTCAATCGATACGCTGTACGTAAACAATATATAAACAAAGAGGTTATAACGATAGTGCGGACAAAGAAATTGTAGCTTGTACTGAAGTCTAGTTTTGGTCAAAATATCTTCTTGAAAACACGAGAGCAATGCATTAATAAAAAAAAAAAATGTGAATACATATTGTGAGAAAGTCTATAATCGAAGTTATCCACGCAACCACACCGTGAACCCCCACTCCCACGTTTTGCGTCCACGAAGAGTTCTTTGTTGTATGAAATGACAGTGCAGCAGAGTAGTAATATACCGGTGTACAATTTAGAGTTAAACACACCTTTGCATATCGCGTCACTTCGTCAGTGGACTAGCCGTGATGGGCGTTTGTTTTATGGTTTTTGATTGGCTGCTCGTTCTGGTTGAGCCAATCGTTCGTTTTGTTAGAATTGAATAGTTGAATATTTAAGTTAAAGACCTCTTTTTTAAGCATTTAGCTTATTCGAGATATTATTTCTTTATTCCCTAAATAAGTCGGCTGCCGGCTGATGTTCTTTTTAAGTCATATGTTAGTTTCTAATTGAGAAGTCTCGTCAGGGTTAAGTAGCGTCGGTAGCTTTTAAGAAGGAAGTTGAACGGAGTTTGTAATTTGTATTTGTCATTGGTGTATACTAGTTATATTTTAAGTTGGCATGTCTGTAGACTGCCAAATTATATAGGCTGCTTATAGGATTAGTTGGATAGAGAGTTGAGCTCCACTTGTCAACATTACGCTTAAACATTACCCCGTCCTGCAAGTAATAAAAACAAACACTTTTACATCTTCATATTTGGGTATATGGGTAACAGAGTTTTCATGGGTTGAGTGGCAAATAAAATTAACTTGATTGTAATGGTATCTAAGTCAATTAATTGTAAGATAAATAAGGCAAAGGACTTGGGGCGTTATTGGTAATTTATAACCTTACAAAAGATAAGAAACGTTTAATTTTGGCTATCTTTCTAGGAACAGATTGTTTTTTCAAAACTCTCGCGTAGATGCCCTGCCATGGTAACAAAATTGCGTTGTTATGCGGACATAGCCAAAATATGCTATTCAGGGTAAGCATGCAGATGAAAGCCTCCGCATGTGACAAACAAAAATTGATTTCCGCTAATGAAAACTGGTATGACAATGTTTAAGCTTATTAAATACTATTTGTTTGCTGCATGCGGGGACTTTCAAATGTTGAAGAGTGTTTAGTTAATTTCCTTAAAAATGGCCAATTTTTATCCAAAAATCGCACAACAGACGATATTCCCGTGTTTGCGGACAAACGTCTTTCTTTGTTAACATGGGTGTATGGGTATCTAAGTTCACATGGTTGTATGGGTATCTAAGTTAACATGGTTGTATGGGTATCTATGTTATCATGGTTGTATGGGTATCTATGTTATCATGGTTGTATTGGTATCTAAGTTAACATGGTTGTATTGGTATCTAAGTTAACATGGTTGTATTGGTATCTA